TGGAGCAAATGAGAAAGATATGTGCTGAAAGGCGGTCGTTTGAGCTGCTGCATACGGTGGGTCTCTGTATGTTGGATACAATTTGTGGTAAGCGAGTGTGTGAAAGTGTGTGGAAGCAGAGCAGAGTGAAAATATTGAATCATTTGTGGCCTTTTGCTCTTTGATGTCTTTGCAGACACAGCAATGGGTGTGCATACGCAAGCGCAACGCAACGCTGACTCGGAATATGTAAGAGCGCTGAGAAGGTGAGTTAATATAGAGATATGTAATAGTCGTTAGTGTAAATGCAATCAAAGTGAAGAACGAGTTTACTGATCGAAATAATGGTAAAGCGATTTGTTCGTCTTAGATGAGTAGGATGGAATGGATGAAGTAAGAAACGTATCTGCAGAGCGGTCAATGCCGAAAGCTTAGGTGACCAGAACAGCATCCGGAGCCGACACCTTTTCAGAGTCTCCGCCCGTGAATGCAGTCTGAACAGACAAACCAGCTCAATTATAGCAGACAAGCAGACCGAGAGTTGGCATGTTGATTGTCAGACACCAGTTTTCTAGATCAAAATATATTTGTTCGGTATTTATTAATGCGGCCGCTGTGGCTGAGTGGTTAGAGGGGCGTACTACCATTCCATAGGACCTGGGTACGGTTAGAGCAATCTCGTCAGGGTTTGAACAGCAGGCCAGTTCAGTTAGATACGGAGCATAAATTATCTCAAATTAGTTTGAGATGCAAGGGCCTTTGGTATAAATAATACAATTCAACTCTCGTATTGAGGGGACAAACTTTCATTCACTGGTGCAAACAAAGCGACCGGGATTCGGTTGCTGATGACTCCCCTTTAACCACCCACTACAAGCTACATCCACAAATGCCCATAGGTTGTATTCAGTTAAATTTCACCAAGGTGCGCCCAAATGCATGGCTTTGTACAATACTTTAGGCCGTCGCTTTGATTATGTTTATAATAGAAATTTTATATTTTCTCAAATGTTTTTTTGCCCACCTTTTCCTTCGTGTATGATCTTCTAAACTTGTTGCAGCTTGACGACAATTCTTCACCTTCGCATGTTCAATATAAAATATTACTTCGATTTCGTTTTTCGTTTCACACCGGAGGGGAGAGAAGCGAAACGCGCCCTCGCCATCTTAGACGACTTCGCAGAGCAGGTGATTCTCCAACGACGCACAGATTTGATGCAAGCACCTGAAGAGCAACACAGAGGCAAAGAAGAGGAACTTTCTATTGGCATAAAGCGCAAAGAGGCCTTCTTGGATATTTTGCTGCGTTCGTCAGACGACGGCAAACCGCTATCGAACACGGATATCCGCGAGGAGGTGC